GGGGGGGGGGGGGGGGACAAAACCGAAACGTTGAATGGGTTTCGAAAAGTCGAGCGACCGCTTTACTTGACCTACATGTGGTATATATGTATTTTGTATATTAGTAACAGTAATGTGGATTTAAGAAAAAAATATATATTAAGGGGGTAGCTACATAATTAATAAATGAAGGTTTCCATCACTAAAAAAAATACTCCAAGCATCATTTACAACAACGTACTTATAATTATTACCTTTTCTAAATATTTCAAAGTTTTACGATTCAAAAAGAACAAAAAACCTGTTAATTAGAAAGATAAATGCATTTTTATGGGTTTCGAAAACTTTTCATTTTTATTTATCGTATATGAACGGTATACTTATGTTAAGATGAAATGAGTTGTTTACAATAGAAGTTATATTATAGCCTATATTTAAAATTTATAAATGTGTTATCTTATCTGAGGCAAATCATATAAAATTATAAAAATGAAATTAAAAATTCTCAACTTATGTTCAACTTATTGAAATTTGTATAATTTGTAATTTCAAACTACTATAACTTTTTTCAGATATTAAAAAAAAAACAAAAACAAATTCACATAATTTATTATAAATTGACATGGGAATAATATTTTGTCTAAAACTAGTAGGCCTATTAAAAGGGGAAAAAAATGGAATTGGCATTGGCATGATAATTCAACTAAAAAGAAAAATTACTAAAAATATATTATTATTTTTAAAAATAAAATCCGTGCAAATAGGTGGGGCAATTTGTTTATTATTCTGATATTAAAATGACAAAAGTTGTTGGAAATTAAAATAAATATGGGCTAAGTGTTTTTTTTAAAACTCTGTTATTCAGGAAACTTTGTTTCAAAAGTAGCACATTTTAATTTTAAAGAAAATACAAGTACAAGCGCTTTCGATGCAATAATGATTGACTGAAACGTGCATTATTTGTTTGTGGCAGTTAAATTCTGAAATAAAAAATAAATATCAATATTTTAAAGTTTCCTTTTATCTAGATCAACATGCATGGAATCGATCACATTTGAAATTATGCCAATAACAATATTTTTAAAAGCATAATGCCATCGCCTTCATATAATTTAAAGTTAACTTGCCTATTCAGCCTATTCCTACTTTAAAAGTTAATAAAAAAAGTCATGCTTTTATGATAAAACATAATTTGAAAACGGATTGTACATGTTTGGTACTTGGCAACCACTATTAAAATTGTAGAACTATTTATTGATATTTAAAGGTATTTTAATACAGTGATAATAAAGTTTTTAAACTTGTGAAGTTGCAAAAAAAAAAAAAAAAAAAAGATAAAAATGCGATATATGCGAACAATAAGAGTAGGCCTGGAGAACGATATTTTTAAATCGAATACTTAACTGTAACCCTCTAACTCCAACAAGATTAGTCTAGCCTTAAATGCACGGATCATCAATTATATCAAGCGTAGCGATATATATATATATATATATATATATATATATATAT